CACACACACACACACACACGATGCGCAAAACTCCGCATTTGAACAGTCAATAGCAAATACTTAAACTAATAACAAAACAGTAGCTGATTCAGAAGCACCAGATTGTCATAGCAAAGTCAGAATGACCTCCTCTCCTAGGTTCACGAAACGGTCGTCCATAAAATGCATTGCTGTTCTGTTGTAAGTAATCTTAAAATTCCTAAATGCATCTACTTTCGGAAGGCCAAATAAAGTGCTTTTGCTTTCGCCTAGAAACACACAGCGTCTCCCTGACATGGCTGCATCAACACTAACTGCGGTTACTGAAATCACGCCTTTCTTTGCGTGCACATTTGGGCCGCATTATGCAAATATTTCCACATAGTGAGGTAGATATGTGGGGGCGTGTTAGAACGAGCCGTTTTAGGGGGCGTGGCAGAGTCTTAACTTTGATAAAAAATATCTCTTTGGTTTTGAGACTTTAGTCTTTGCAACTTCAGGGATCTTATCTATGCACAATCAACTTGTAACACTCCAAAGAGAAAGGAAAACTTGAAATCGCATCATATGACCCCTTTAAAAGTTCTGGATTTTATTTTTATTTTTTTTGGATGTTCATGCTGGTCCTTCCTTGTTATGGGGTTAGATCAAGATGGCTTCAGGATTTTGAATGGCGTTTATTTAGGTTTACACTTCACAGAGGCTGCACTACTTGTATGAGTTTGTGAGGTCCTGAGAATCTGGAATAGTGTTTGATGTTCCTCTCCAGTCATGGGAAGAGCTTTTGTGTAAATGCTTGAGGGATTACTCAAAGACACGTCAACATGCGCGTCTGGGGTTTCCAGCTTGTCCTTTGTGTAAGAGTTGTTAAGTAACCACCTTTGACTCGATAGGAATCTCATAATGAATCTGTTTTGGTAGCATTTTAAAATAATTAGGTTTTTATTGAATATTTTGAGGATTGATGTTTAATTACAATAATTATAGATAACGATTTCTAGCTGTGTGCAAGCTTAAGCATGAAAAATACAAACCAAAATTAAATCGGATTATCCTAATATGGGTGCCAGATATGGTGTGTTTTCTCTCAGGAGGAATGGATCAAAGCTGTGTACAGGTGTGTGTCTGCTCTTGACTCACCCTGAACCCAAATACAATTTTAATTGCAGTCCAGCTTTGCTCTTTCTTGTTAGGGTTGAAGTGTGTTGAGCATGCAGTATCCATGGTGATGGCATGTGTCAGGTGATGAACACAGGCTGCTGGGGATTTCCCTGCTAGGATTATATCCATGTACACAAGACAGTTAATGTGATCTTGTGATTTTGGTCATGCAATTAAAACCAGCCATTTTGTAAGCAATAATACATAAGTTTGGGGTCAGTATTTATTTTTCAAAGAAACTAGTACTTTTATTCAGCAAGGTCACATGAATGTGATCAAAAGAGATAGTAAAGACAATTAAATGTATTTAAAATGAAAAAGAAAATCTATTTAAAATAAATGCTGTTCTTATAAACTTCATATTCATCAGAAAATCCTTATTATTATATTAAAATAGAAAGATATATATATTTTAGATTGAAATATTATTTCACAATATTGCAGTTTGTAATGTATTCATTTTCAAATATTTTTAATAAAAAATTCAATATATTTATTGTAGTATAATGTAGTATATTTTATGTCATTTATTATCATATTATGTATAATAACAGAATCTTTTTAGAGCATGGGTAACATTTGTAATGTGACCTATTTCAAAAAGAAGATGAATATTTGCAGGAAAATATTTAGACGAGATTTTATTTTATCTGCCGG